TTACTAATTTTTTTTTTTTTTTTTTTTTTTTTTTTTTTTTTTTTTTTTTTTTTTTTTTTTTTGGAAATTGTGTCTTTGAGTCATAACACGTTTTCATCTTCCTCAACAACAATTGCTGACTGATTTCATTATTTTGCCAATTCCACCCAAAACACATTGTCATTCTCAATCCTCTATCACTCGTTATGACATTATATCTGTATAGCACAACTTTTGTGGAAAAAGCGGACTTTAAAGTTTCTTTAAAAAATGCGGTCTTTATATTAAAGTGTGTATCTGATAGTTTTTTTTTTTATAGTCTAGGGGCATCATTTAGAATACTTTTTGCCCATTTAATTCCTAGGCACTGAAGGGGGCATCTTTTTTAAAGTATTTAAAGTAATTATGTCCATATTCGTTTTACTACTTTTAATGAGAACCTTAGAATAATAATTATTATATCCATATATATATATATATATATATATATATATATATATATATATATTTATACACTGCAGGGGCACCTTTGAAGTTATTAAGCTTATATTGGTTCAATGTATTTGAAGGGCATAAATCCATACAGTAACTATACCCATCATCATTTTATCTATTGTTGGGGGCATCTTTAAAGTATTTATGTATAATATATTCATTATAATACATTTTAAGGGCATCCTTACAATTTTTGGGGGAATTTTTTGTAAAATAAATTTAAGGGCATTTGCAGATGAAGTAAGCCCGTATTATTTTTTGATAAATTGTAGGGGCACCCTAGAGAATTTATTCGTTTTATGCATATGAATATACTAAAGAATAAGAATGTTCGTATTGTTTCTGAGACACTGTAAGGACACCCTCAAGAATATGCATGAATAGATTTTTATAAATATACATTGTAGTGATATCATTTCAAACAAATGTGCCCAGGTTATTTTTTATGAATTGTGGGTGTAAGGCATGCTAAAAGTCGTGTAAAAGTATTTTAAAGCAAAGTAGAGCTATTTGTAAAGTTAATGGGCTCTTAAATAGAACTGATGTTATAAATAGTAGAGCCATCTGTAACGTAAGTGAGTCAACGTTGATTTAATGAATTGTGTGAGTTATAACGGCCCTGGTAGCCGTTACTGGATTAATTCCCACACAGGGCTGGCATAGGAATACTCGGGGCCAAGAGCCGATCATAGTGCGGGGCCCAAGTTTACCATTGTTGTCTTAAACAAACATGTACAGCGAGGCTGTATCAAACTAGGGAAATAGTGTACGAATTTAGGGACTAATTGTTCGTAACCCTTTCTTCCAATTTGGAAAAGTAGCATTTTTTTCTTCTGCTCAAAGCGAATTAATATTATGACGACGATATAATTATAATATTGTTTTACTTTCATAGTAGCTCCACTATTATATCTCTGGCCTCGAAATTCACCAATCTCTATGCCATATTTCTCGAGTGCGGCTGGTAGTCAAGCTAAATATCTTTGTCTGTTGTGTCTTTAGCGATACAAAAATTCTATTAAACATTCACAAAGCGCACAAGCAGAAATCGCTGTTCTCTATGACTAGTATCGATATTTTCTCAATGTATCGAGTTAAGACGAGACGCTTTATTCCTACGTATCCGACTACTTCGACGTACGAGACAAGACTAGCATTTCTAAGGTCCGTAACTAGTACAGGCAGCCAAAAAAAATCCTACTTTGGTCAGAATACAATAAGGTATCAAATTATGTGTTTTTCCCAGATTTACATACCAGGTACACGGGGGGGGGGGGGTGGAGGCTGAGGGGGGGGGGGGAGGGCTCACTCAATGGACCCATCGCCAGCCACCTCAGGTAAAACAATCACCAGGCGACCGTGCCGCTCTCTGCACATAACAACGAGGTGCGACACTGTCTTCCTATAAAATACAGCATTGTTCAAGTTCAGCTGGGGGGGGGGGGGGGGAGAGCGCGAATTCACTAGGTCTAACATCAACCGTGGCCTCAGTTGTAGCAATAAACAATGGCGACCTTTGACCTTTTAGTTTTTTTTCTCAATTTAATTCAACTGTGACCGCAGATCGACCCGGTAGAGTAATGGAAACTGGAAACTCTTTTGTTGGGCTTGGCATAGAGCCCCTCCCCCCCCCCCCCCCCCCCGACATCCGACATGTCCCCAAACTGTTTTCCTCCTCCCCGAAATTCCATTTGTTGAGTCAGTCATTTCTTTGGATATATTCGCATGGAGTATTCTCAAGAGTTTAGCTAAGTCAATTTTTAAAAATGCTTTTCTATTTGTATTCTGTTTGATAACATAATGTGTAGTGTTATAATTTATCGTCAATTGTAGGGCTACTAACACTTTTAACACCGTATGATATTATATATATATATATATATATATATATATATATATATATATATATATATATATATATATATATATATATATAATTTATGGGGGGCATCTTCCCTTGGGTTTGCCCCGGGCATCTACATAGCTCTGCACGCCACTGGGCCCCCTCCCCTCGTCGCCTTTTATATACAGCCCTCGTAACGGCCAATAAGGGGTCAGAAAACTGTGATTGGCGTTTTCTCCGTTTGAAGCCCAAGACCTTGAGAATACACCGCGTCCCTTGAACGCCACGAGTGATATGCATGACCGCGTCTGACGTAGGCTCTCGCCTAACTCCACCAATCAGACACCACATTGCCCTCTGAAGGGGTGTTTGACTCCCAATAAGAAATCGACTTGTTTTTTACCTGCAAAGTCCTATTTTCTTGTACTGTTAATAGGTCTGATTTTTTTCTAGATTTATGAGTGGGTTGTATTAAAAGTCTGATTAAATTCAAATTATTCGTATTTTTTGTTTATTATAGCCGAATTGTAAATGTTTGCCACTATGGGCCTACAATTCACTTTCTTAGTTAAAAAAATTCTAGGTGTAGTCGCAATTCAAAACACGTAGTAGGCCTATGTACTTTAATTCTTATGAACGGTTAGGGTTGGTATAGGCCTACACAGCATATTAACAAGGTCTCTCTCTATCTCTGTCTCTCTCTGTCTCTATCTCTCTCTAGCGATCGGTTGGGCTGATGAAGCGAAGGTGCATTCAGCACTTTGCCAGCCGCCTTTACTTTCCCTAAAATGAGTTAGGTACCCATCAGAGCTGGGTGGACACTGATATGAACCCGGTTTCGAACTTGAAACTTTTGTGTTAGCAGCCTAGCTCTATTCCGTTTAGAACAAGCCGTCCCATATATATATATATATATATATATATATATATATATATATATATATATATATATATATATATATATATATGTATATATTTATATATATATATATTTATATATATGTATATATATATATATATATATATATATATATATATATATATATATATATATATATATATATATATATATATATATATATATATATATATATATATATATATATACTTACATATCTGTGTGTGTTTCTGTATGAGAGTATATGTGCGCGCCAAAATTTTAACCTTGAGTTTATCAAATGTTCCAATATTTACAAGGCAAGTAAATTACCATGACCTAAAATGGAAACTAACATATTTTTTGGAGACCACAGTCCAGTTCATACACGGTGTTGGGCTTGTTGTTTAAATCCTCCATCATATACTTAATTAAGAAAGAAGAAGAAGAAGATCCACAATGTCCACTTCCATATCCGCTTTTACCGTGGCCAATACAAAAAAAAGTTCCTGTACCGACGATTACCTTAAAGTTATATTTATTTTTTAAAGAACAGCTTATTTTATTTATGTAACATCTGATCTGGGTATTGTCTGGAAACCAGATGGAGATCAAGGTAAGAGTTTGTGTAACTGGTTTATTACCGTCATGGAAACTTTTAAAAAAAAGCCAGAGAATAGATAATTATTGGGTTTTTTTTAAAAAATCGTTAATGTTCCTCGTGTATCCAGTAACATAAGTATTTTTCTCCAGTTGTATGTGGGTGTTTGAAAAAAAATGTAGCCCTTGATTTAACTCACCTTGAATACAAAACCTCATATGAGAAACTTAATATCGTTGTTTAGGTATATTTTTAGTTTTGCTTTATTTTTACATTGTCACAAGTATGGTTATCAAAATTTTGCTTTATTTTTACATTGTCACAAGTGTGGTTATCACAATTTTGCTTTATTTTTACATTGTCACAAGTGTTTATGAAAGTAGTTGGTTTTTTTTTTATAATGAATCAAAGGCTAGTATCTATATTTCGTTCCAAGCAATCAGTAATACATTTTTTTCTTCTTTTTCGTATTATCTGCAATGTTATCACGGATTTCCAATCCAACACCGATATATATAACGTGTTAATTTGAGTCAGAATTCAGCCTGATTTTATTTTGGGATTTTCTTCTTTAGTCTTTGCCCAACCAAGAATAAACTACATGGCAGCAGTTGTTTGATTGTGGAGTTGTTTCTGCTTGATTGGTTGTTGTTTGGAGATATCAAGCCTCATCTGCACGGGGTTCAAATTCGGGACTTTTTTTCTATAGCAACCTCGATACCGACCCGATTAAAGTCTCAATAATTAAAAGAAAAACGAAAAAAAACAACAGATTCCAGTGTATGTGCAAAATATTAAACATATTGAATATAAATTACAATTGCATATATTAAACAATGGTGCGCGGACCTTTGACCACAGGTGCTTTGACCATAGGGGGTTTGACCATAGGGGGTTTGACCACAGCGGAGCTTTGACCATAGGGGCTTTGACCATAAGGGGTTTGACCATAGCGGGGCTTTGGCCACAGCGGTGCTTTGACCATAGGGAGTTTGATCATAGGGGGTTTGACCATAGGGGGTTTGACCACATGTGTTTTCTCAGCAGAGGGTCTTTGATCACAGGTGGTCTATCAACTGGTGTTTGATCACAAGCGCTGAGAAAACACCTGTGGTCAAACCCCCTATGGTCAAACCCCCTATGGTCAAACCCCCTATGGTCAAAGCACCGCTGTGGTCAAAGCCCCGCTGTGGTCAAACCTCCTATGGTCAAACCCCCTATGGTCAAAGCTCCTGTGGTCAAAGGTCCTAGGACCTAAACAATCTGCTATTGGAGTTCTGAGCTCCACCGTAAGAATCAGTATCGCAAAAACACGCACATATTTCTAGGTATATAGCACATTGTAGAGCGCCAGACTGCTAATCCCAAAGTCACAAGTTCAAATCCTGGTTCAAGTTAACGTAAGGTCCCTGAGTCCATCCAGCTTTGGTGGGTACCTAACTAATAAGGAAGGCTGGGCATAGTGCTGATCACACAATCCCTTTAAATTTCGAAGTCACTGAACCAAATAAACTCTACTTCTTCTACAACACGTGTCACGAATGGGAAAATGTAATAAACAAAATACAATTTACATATCTCGTTTCTGTAATATTTGTATTATTTTGTGATATTTTCCTTGTACGTTATGTATCTTCATCATAGAGAGAGAGTACTTTAAAAAAACTCATTTAAATTACAAATCAATGTAGGCCTACAACATTTACATTCCATTCCTAACACAATATTATGTAAAAACAGTATTATATTTATTCCTCTACTTTTGCATAATTAATTACAAACAGGTAGCAAAAAAAAAATCCGTAAAATATAATAATTAATTTTAAAATTGTAAAAATACAACAAAGAATTTTTTTTTCAAATATCTAAAAATGTGTCAGGGAACGATGTATTATTTATATCTTCCAGATAACAAAAGCATTTGATTTACATATTAATAATTTACATTAAAAAAAAAGAAACAAACAGAAAAGAAGCCATAATTAACCTATAGAAGCGTAGGTGTCCGTTCAAAGCGTTGACATTTAAAAATCTTTGACGCGTTATTTTTGAAAAAGTCATTATATTATTCTTCTGAGTGACCCAGAACTGATCACATGGTTCCCGTATGAGGCTAGTCCACTAGGAAGCCGGAGAACGTGAGCCGGATTTCAACAGCTTCCGGTACATTATTGGTCGTGACGTCAACCCACACCTCTTGTCCGGCAGACAGTGACGTCAGAATATCGATGTCATTTGCGTCATCGGCGTTGGCCAGATTTTGATCGTCCACTACTAGGTAAGCTTCTAAGTTTATTTCCGGATTCTGTTGTGGGGGAAAAAGGAAGCCGTAGAAAATTAGCACACGATGATGAAATAATCAAACAAATTACAGCCAGTAAAAAGGGTCAGGGATAAAACGTAGGCCTACACCAGGAAAACAATTCATCAAATGTGTTGGCGTTGCCGCACTTATTAAGGTTCTAATGGTAAAAAATACATTTGAAATAAAGACCTCAAAACACCTTCGAATTTTGCCTCAGTTAAAAAAAAATCATCCAAATTCCTTTTTCCTCCTATATGTATTTTTCATCAAATTTATGTAGCAATCTGTTTTGGGGAATTATACTTCCCCATTAAAAAAAAACACATAAAAAGCTTTTATAATAATAATATTTTAAATTAAATGAAAATATGATTAAACTAATTTGCTTTCTTTTATAATGAAAGGATTGGTTGCAAAGAAGTGCAAGATAAACAATGAGCTACTAATTCCTCTAAAAAAATCAAGTTATACTAATTTTACTTTCTCGTATATACGAAGTTTAGAGAAAGTTTAGTAATCGTGAAAAAAAAAATCGAAATTTTTGCAAATCTCGACGTTTTACGCCTCCCTGAGTCGGAAAAACCTAGTTTTGCAATATTTTCCATATGTCTGTGTGTTTGTGTGTGTGTATGTGTGTGTGTGTGTCTTTGTGCCTGTAAACACGATAACTTGAGTACCGTTACATTTAGGTTGATGATATTTCATTTGTAAATATTATATCAAATTTGTAGATCCGTTTCAACTTTTGAGCGATTTCCGATAACCGGAAGTGATTTTTTTTCTACTTTAAATTTTTCAAAAGACTATAACTTGAGTACTAATTCATATATATATATACATGTATTCTCACCCGTAAGTTAAAGATCTAATTCTCTGCCTACTTTCAAATTTTGAGTAATTTCCGATGACCGGTAGTTGTAATTTACGCTATTTCCGATTTATAAAAAAGCATGTACATTTATAAAGTACTAATAATATTCCGCACTATTATACATATTTTGTTTAGCGCAATTCTTTTTTCTACGAGATTTTATTCTATTTTTAAAAGTTTGAGTAATCAAAAATGGATCAAAATATTGTCTTGATCCCGAGTTTCCATCCCCCGTAATGTTATATGAGAATATTTGAGAAAGTTTAGGGGAGATCACTCCCGGTTTATTTATTTTATTGTTAGTGCATTTTAAATCTTATTTTTATAGTTTTTTTTTTAATTAGTATATCCCACTTTTTAGTAATTCCTTCTAAAAGAAGTTATACAACATAATGCTAATACTATTTGCATTTAAACCCAATTCGTAATCTGATGTCTCTAAAAGACAATTATCTGCCCCTACTTACACCAGGCAAATAACCAACTAGATCTAGCAATCACTTGTATTTAATGTTGTTACATCCCCTCAATTAAAAATATATAGATAGTCTTGTAATGTTATTTGGATACGAATGCTTTTGTGAAATCTCAACGGAACCACTGCATTTAGAACAGGTTCAAAATTGAGTTGTGTTATTTACCATGAACCAACTAACAGACAAAAGAACATATACTGTAAACTAAATAAATGCTTACACTTTTCATTTTGTTTTCTTTTGTTTTTCTTTATGTTGAAAAGCGTTTAAGTTAAAACATTTAGCACCAGTATACTTATTAACGTCTTTCCCGAAATATTATAGATGCAAAAAAACAACAACAACTAATGTTGATTTTCTTATTTTGAATGCATAACATTAAACCTACAGCGCTATATTTATTCCATCCTTCCCTTCTTTCTGAAATACTTCGACACCCGCAATATATGAAATATTTTCTTTCCAACACAGTCAGTTCTCCTAAGCTTTAATCATCTTTCCATTATTTATTTTTATCATAAGTGGTTTACGATCTGATATTCACAGGGCCGACTTTATCCATTAGGCAAAGTAGATACTCTCAGAGTTTCTTCCAGGCATCCCTTAGAGGGGGGGGGGGGGGGCTCCGCCCACCAGATAGTCTACCACCCCCCCCCCGAACTAAATGGAATTTATATAGATAATATATACGTTTAACAGTGTCCTCCCCATCACCAGGAAATTTTAGTCCCCCCCCCCTTAATTTTTTAAGTGACCCCCCTATCCCCTCCTATCCCCCCACCCTTGGAGAAAAAAAAGTCTGAAGAAATACTGGATACTCCAATGCCGACACACTTTAAGGGCCTATTAAAGTCAAAATAGAGAATTAGCGGGAAAAAAAAAGACGTTTTCGTCGTAAGACCCCACCCCCCTACTAAAATACAACAATTACCATGGTTACTGCGAAATAAACATTCGTGTCTATATGATAATAGCTCCATTTGCCAGCTGAGCCTACGAAGTGCCCAGCACCTACGAACTCAGCCTTACATTTTCACCATTGTAAAAATCGTTTTAAAATGAATATGCAATGGTATTACGGAGAGAAAAAGAAAGAAACAGTTAAATATCTACAAAGTGTGTGTGTTTTATGCATTACTACAGCTCTCATGACATTGACGTGAAACTTTGGGAAGTTGTTGAGAATACCCCCGGGGAGGTTTCTGCGGAAAAAAAAATTACATGGCTGGCGCCCCATATAAAAAATAGAAAGTCAATTTCGGTTTCACACCGTTCATACGATCACCATCGAACTTTCGGGATATGATTAGAACATGGCAGGAAAGAGTTCTGCAAAAAAAAAAAAAAAAAATCGGATTTAATTTTTCAAGGACAGCGCCCCGGTAGGGAGCGATTTTTTCTCTTTAAACGGTATTTAAAAATAAAAGTCGATTGCGGTTTCACACGGCTCATCCGATCGCCGTCAAACTTTCGAGAGTTGATTAGAACACTGCAGGGAAGGGTTCTGCAAAAATATTTTTTTAATATATATAGTTGAATTCTATTTAGTAATCATCCCCCCCGCCTCAACTTCTCCTCTTTTAAGATTCGAACAGTAAAAAAAAGAATATCTATGATGAAGGTTATTACATGTGATATTAAATATCAATGTTTTAAACAAGACATATCTGATATAATTTTGACAGTGTGATAAAAGAATGGACGATAATTCTATTTTCAGCTATGTGATATTCTATACATCTCGACAAATCTTGGATTTGACTTAATAAGCAGGTTACATTTTTTTTTCTTTAAAAAAAAAAGCGTTCGAGCGTGGTTGTACAAGTATTAAAAAAAATTTCCTTCATTTGAAAGTGCTTGAATGACGTAGTATGTGAATTCACATTAGCGGGTCGGCGCATAGTTTACGGGATTTGATCGTATTCAATGCAAGTCATGCTATTGATAATCGTGTGTGTTAAGGTTAACCCAAGGAATTTCATTGCAACAGCTTGCAGATTTCTATACTCAAAAGAAAGTGATCGTAAACCCTGTGAAGATGTGTATGTTCACATGTTTGGTATGACCACTGAAGACAATGTCAACGAACTGGGGAAGGGGTTAAAATATACCTGTAAGACAAACATGAGTTCAAGTCATCGATGTTTATATGTAGATACGGTGTGGCCTAGCCGTAGAGAGCTAGACTGCTTACCCAAGATTCTCGAGTTCGAATCCGGGTTCAAATAAGTTGAACGTCCCTGAGTCCTCCCAGGGGTAATAAAGGCGCTATACTATATAGCCTCTCACTTTAAATACCACATATATTTCATGTCTGATAATCAATCACTTATCTCGTTGATTCGTTTATCAGTTACTTTGTTTACATTTTTTAAAACAAAATCCCACATCAACTGAAATCACCATCGATAACAACTTACTTCATCAACCTTTTGCCTACCAGACCACCTATCTACCAACCCACCCGCCTACCAACCCAACTGCCTATCGAACCACCAACCTAACAACCCACCTGCCAACCAACCCACCCACCTGTCTACCAACCTACCTGTCTACCAACCCACCTGCCAACCTGCCTGTCTACCAACCCACCTGTCCACCAACCTACCTGTCTACCAACCCACCTAACAACCAACCTACCTGTCTACCAACCCACCTGTCTACCAACGCACCTGCCATCCAACCCACCTGCCAACCAACCTACCTGTCTACCAACCTACCTGTCTACCAACCCACCTGCCAACCAACCCAACTCCAACCTACTGCCTAAAACCTACCTGTCTACCAACTCACCTGCCAACCAACCTACTTGTCTACCAACCCACCTGTCTACCAACCCACCTGCCAACCAACCCACCTGTCTACCAACCCACCTGCCAACCAACCCACCTGTCTACCAACCCACCTGCCAACCAACCCACCTGCCAACCAACCCACCTGTCTACCAACACACCTGTCTACCAACACACAGCATAACAAACCCCTGCATAACAAACCCACCGGTCTCATAATTACCAACAAGCCATTATTCTCAACAACACATTAACAATTTTCTACGACTGCAAATAACCGATGCATATAAAGTTTTATTGCCATCTCATAATTATGATAAAGGGAAGCAATTCAGGAAATTGTTTTTATATACAAATCATAATAACCTCCCTCTAATTTTAAGTCGCTTTTTGCAGATTATAAACGTTAATTTAAAGAGAAAATTTATTTAATTTTGAAGTAATAAAAAATTGTTCTTGTTGTTTAAGTAGCAACTTTACAAGATAAAAAGGTAACACTTATGCCAACCGTAATGATTATAAAAATGTAAACCTGATAATTAGATTTTAAAAAGTGATTGTGGCTCAGTACGTGTGGTGACAATTTGTGACAAAAGTTAGAGGGTTAAAAGCAGACACTAAAATCTTGACAGTCAGGCTGGTTAGAGAAATTGGCGTTGGATAAGTTACTGAATAAATAACACCCACCTTACTGATCTTTAAGCTGAAATGGTATACGCCGTCGATCTCTGTCTTGAAGACGCCACTATGTTCATCAAACTTGTGGCCAGTGCCCTGGTTGACAGTGGTGCTGTAGTGGGTCACCTTTATGTGGGTCACGTAGGCGGGGACCTGGCCTTGGTGGTAGGCAGAGAAGATGGAGGACCTTTTGAGGGTTGCTGTGGTGAGAGGTAGAAAGGTCATTCAATCGGTGATATTAAAGATTTATCTTTAAAGTATTTTAAAAAAAAAAATATGGCATTGAAAGTGCTTGAATGACGGAGCATGTATATTCTCATTAGCGGGTCTGCGCATAGTTTACGGGATTTGATCGAACTCAATGCATACTATGGATAGCCGTGTGTGTTAAGATTTAGACCTAATGATCTTGTCCAGTGTTTCTTCCAGACTTTTTTCTCCGGGAGGGGGGGGGGGGGGCGGTAGACTTTCTTCGGGGGGGGGGGGCGGACACTGTTAAAAGTATATATTTTCTATATAAATTATATAAATTTCATTTCGTTCGTGGGGGGGGGGGGGGCGGGTTTGGGGGGCGGTAGAATTTTTTCGGGGGGGGGGGGGGGGGGCTTCCGAAGAGATGCCTGGAAAAAACTTTGATCTGGTCAGATACAGTGGAGCTCATTTGTTTATTGACCATCCGTCTTTATTTTTCACTACGTCAGTCAGTTACCTATCAGAGCTGGTTTGACTCCGAACCTTTATCCGAACTCGAGACATTCATTGTTAGCAGACCTAATTGGTGTTAGTAGAGAACATGAAAACAAGACCTTTTAAATAGTTTCATTTTTGGGCTTTTTTTTTTTTTTTAATAGTTTTTTTTCACACGGAAAGTTGTGTTGGAACCATGCATTATAACAGACCGAGAAGACATAATTATATTTTTGCCTGTGTGGTAAATTGGACCTCACCTTATATTAGCTCGGTAGGTTTTAATTGATTAGATTAGCTTCATGGAGTTTAACTTAATGTTTATAGGTTAACTGAACAAGAATCTACAGTGGTCAGTATAATTATGTTACTAGATTTTAGCAAATTGTTGTTTTACGAATAATGACAAGTTTTTGACACGTTTAGGAATTATTTTACTTAAAATGATCTTTTAATCTCATTTAGCTTGTATCTATTTAAAATAGCTACCAATGTCAGCTTTTATTTCAGCGAGATCCTGGCCAGTTGTCTGAGATTTGGAAATGGCACCGGAAATGGTCAGGATTTCTGTGGACAGTTGCTGCAGCCTCGACTCCAGATTTGCGATGTGACCACATAACTGTGAGATAACTGATCGATCGCTGATTAGATCGATACACTGGTTACTGCTACCTGAAGTAGTATTTTGAATATCAGTGATCAAAAACATCAACAAGAATTATTAAACATATATATTACTAATGATGATTTGAATAAAACGTTGTGTTAAAAATAAGTCATAAAAATAATGTATGTCATTAAAATAATAATTATAAACACCAATTGCTATTAGAAAAAAGTATTAGAGAATAATAAAATGTGAGAAAGAATCAGTGGCGTAGCGTGGTCGGGTGTTACCCTGTGCGGCACTTAATGGTGTCACCCCCCAGAGGCGTAGCCACCCTTCCCGAGGACAAACTTTCAATTTTTGATTTGCACCCCCCTCCTCCCCTCAAACTTTCGATTTGCACCTCTTAAAAGACTATTTAACACTCGAATTAATCACTTAATTAAGTGGAATTATCATTTTTTTCTATATAGTTTTCTATTTTTTTGCCTTGGTGTCACCCCCTAAATGGTGTTACCCGGTGCGGTCCGCACCCCCCTTCCGACCCCCCCCCCCTCGCTACGCCTCTGCAAAGAATATACGTTTTTTGGTATGAAATGTGAGCTCATAAATGACGGGCAGTAAAAGCATGGCAACTCACAACACATGATTTTCTCCAGAGTTTAGAGTTATCTACCTTTTAAACGTTTCGAATATCTATGCCATGTATCTAACGCTTGTTTTCGTTAGCGATATCAATTATCATGTGAAACATTCTTCTATGCCAAAGTGTTTCATATCTTTCTACATTTGTAGATCTTAACGTTTAATTTAGTAGATCTACTAAAAACCTAGCGAACGAAAAGAAGTAGAGTTTTTGTGTTTTTTTTTATATAGAGAGATGGTGATGTAGTCAGCTCTATACCCAGCCGCTTCTAGTCTGGGGCGTCCTGGAGTCATAAGTCCGAATCGAGATCCGAACCTGAGACCTTCGGGTCTACCATTCCACAACGCGGTTTCACATATGATCTACTAATTAATGCTAACACCTTGTTGTTAATCCCCCTCAACATAATACCCCCTCCCCACGACCGACGCTACCTATAAGGCGAACGAGGAAGTCGCCTAGGGCGCTGTCCGTAGGGGAGGGGGGGGGGGGCGCCAAAATGGGTTGGAAAAACTTGAAAGTTTGAGGAGGGATGCAAATCGAAAGTTTGTCCCCGGGCGCCGGGAAGGGTCGCCTCTGATAATACGGGGGGCACGAAAAAAAATGGGGGAGGGGGGTCGCTTTTAATAAGTTTTGCCTAGGGCGCTAAATAACCTGGCGCCGGCACTGCCTCCCTACCTGACACAATTTTAGAACTAAAACCTCACCGTATTTGTAATAGCAGGACTGTGTCTGGGTGAGAACCTGGTCAAGTTTGGCCATCATTTCACGGATGGCCTGACTTCCGGCGTCGTCTAGGCCACCCACGTCCGACTGTGTCGTGTTTGTCGATCCCACACCAGCAGCACTCAGTACAAGCAGTGACACCATCAACAACACATGCATCTCGCCCGGCAACACACTTTCAATTGGATCATAACACATACAACTGAAGTAAATGATGCGACACGTGCTAAGTTTGGAACTATTTTAGGCAAAACAAGAGTGTATTAAGAGAAATATATTCTAATAATAACGCTGTGAGATGAATTATATTTACAAAGAACGTTTCTACCGTTCTAACCCATTTTTTCTTCAGCAATCGTATTTCAACTGTGTGTAGTAATTAAAATAATTGCTTTTAAAATAACAGACATATACCATTGTATTTGGTCTATACTAGTTTCACAAGTGAGTTTTAAGGTATTTCAAAGTGTAAAAAAAAAAGAACTGCGCACCAAATGAACAGCAACCAAAGTGTGTATCATAATGTAAAACATTCGTACTTAATACACAAAACCTTAATTAATTTTGAAACAGTTGATTAATCAACTATCTAATTAATCATGTAACATTTTAATTCACAACATATTGTCTTCGAATTTTGACCACGTGAAGAATTTGAAATAAATCAGTCCGCTGGAAGTGTTCGAAATTTTGCTCGACGAACGATAGACAGAAGAATATTAAAAGTAAATTCTTATGGGTTTTTAAGAAAACTGAAATAGGGTAAACTAACAGACAGACAGACAGACAGACAGACAGACAGACAGACAGACAGACAGACAGACAGACAGACAGACAGACAGACAGACAGACAGACAGACAGACAGACAGACAGACAGACAGACAGACAGACAGACAGACAGACAGACAGACAGACAGACAGACAGACAGACAGACAGACAGACAGACAGACAGACAGACAGACAGACAGACAGACAGACAGACAGACAGACAGACAGACAGACAGACAGACAGACAGACAGACAGACAGACAGACAGACAGACAGACAGACAGACAGACAGACAGACAGACAGACAGACAGACAGACAGACAGACAGACAGACAGACAGACAGACAGACAGACAGACAGACAGACAGACAGACAGACAGACAGACAGACAGACAGACAGACAGACAGACAGACAGACAGACAGACAGACAGACAGACAGACAGACAGACAAGCAGGCTGACTGACTGACTGACTGACTCACTCACTGACTCACTGACTCACTGACTCACTGACTCACTGACTCACTGACTCACTGACTGACTTACTGGCTGACACGATGTACGTTTACAATACTTTCTATTTGCTTCGCATACGAAAAGTAAAAAAGTACAAGAAATATGTACAAGACTACTTGCCTTTTATGCTATCAGCATGAATAAGTAAAATCATATAACTAAAATAAGATTGAATAAATATACACTACTTAAAACAAAGCTGCTCTCTCTTTTATTCCGAAATCACTTCATGTGTGAGAAACACAGTAGACATTTACTAATAAAACTTTGCGTCGTTGAATCCTGATACCACAACGACACAATCAGGACACTGGCGGTTAGAGTTACTTGCAGCTCAAACACCATTTACCATCTAAGATAACACGTCTGTCCAACTACTCACACTATGAAGGAGCTATTTATAGACCAAAATATTTACGGCATCGAAAATATTTGTTTTTTTTAACCTTACTTCAAATAAACAAATACGCTTACATGGTATGGGTCTGTAGGGTTATATTTTCTCTACTATAAATATCTAAGTTACTCATAAAAAAGAACCACAAGCAGTAAAACTATTTGGAAGAGAAAATCTAAATATTTAGAAAAAAAACAACAACCAAAAAAAAAAAAGAAACTGTTTAAACTATGGCTTTAATTACAAAGTTATTGTAATGAAATGTAATATTTGTAGTAAATGCATAAAGATCGCTAAGATTTATTTTAAAATGCATAACTCATAATTTACGAATTTCATTAAATTGGATATCTCTATATTCTACAAGTTCAAAAAATATATTTCTTTTATTTGATTTTTGTTTTTAATTAAAAAGTATTTACAGTTACTACGCTTTTACACTTAAACTATTACATTAATCATGTCAACAGTTATATGGGAACAATATATGTATGTGCATGTACTTTCGTACACACATACACACACACACATGCACACGCTCGCACGCACACACACAGGCATGCACACACGCACACGCACGCACACCGCACACACACACTTATACAAGTATGCATGTAAAAAACAAACTAGCACGCACACGCACGTATATATATATATATATATATATATATATATATATATATATATATATATATATATATATATATATATATATATATAACATTCATACATACATAGAAACACTTTCACGTTTACACACATATACATCTACAATCACACACATCGAGTTTATGTGTGCGTGTACATTAGTTCACACACATTAAATAAAGTAATGTCCGACTTACACCACACCACACCATAAACACAAACAGTACTCTTCTACTCAATGGCCTGACTGCTAAAACTAACGACGTCAATCAACTTGTTTACCCCCCGCCAGTCATCTTCCCCCCCCCCCCCCTACACTGTGACAGCTATGTGTGACAATATCAGCCCTGTAGTTACTTGAGACTAGCTTATCATCTGTGCGAAAACAGGATAAATACGTCAGGAATCGCCTAACAGAAACACTGCGAACGCAGCGTCGACTTCTGTATCTTTAGATCTATAAGTATTGTTTCGTCAGAATTAGGATATGTGTATCCGATGAACTATGAGTCTTGTATAGGCATAATTAAGAAATATGTATTCAAATAATTATAACGAGCTGACCCGCGACGTAGCATACGCCGCTATTTAGTTGTTTTATTTCCTATTTTTCCTATTTTGTGAATTCGGACACTACCAATGCTGCGGCTGATAATATCTATATATATAATTCTCTTCTGGGAGACGCTAGAAAACAAGCTGTAAACGCGCTCCCTACCATCCCCACCCCTACATAGTCTTAGTGAGCTGTGGTTCACGCTATGTTTACCTTCGTGGAGTCGGGTTTAGTGACGGCTATTAGGGGCAGATAATTTAGTTTGAAACGATTTTAAACGTGGGGGGGGGGGGGGGGGGAAGGAAGGGGGGGGGGGGGCGGGGGGTTATGGTACTTAACGAGCTACTTATAGTGTTTTAAAGAAATATTTTCAGTGGAAGCGTTGGTACTGTCGAATTCACAAATTATGAATTACTGAAAAGTAGAAAAAACAACAACTAAATAGCGGCGTATGTTATGCCGCGGGCCGGCTCCTTTGCTTTAAAACACTATCAGTAGTTCGAGCAGGATGATTATCCTCACCCTCACTTTCCACCCCTCTCCCCGTTCCCCCTCCCCGTGAAAGCAGCCATCCGTGACGACAGTTTACAGACGACAATGAAAAGTTCAAGCAGAACGTGTTATTACCTCCCCTTAGTTTCAAATCGTTTAAAATCTAACTTATCTGCCCATAATAGCCGTTACTAGTTCTACCCAATAGTAAACAGCTCACCAGACTGGAGGGGGTGGGGGTGGTAGCGATATGATCTGTTGAGTTTAGGTCTTGGTGGTGTCTCGCATGGTCCCCATGAAGAGAGTTATATATAGAGATTGTGTATCTAAACAATTATGAGTCTTGTATTTTTAACATGTTCTTTAATGCCAGATTTTTTTTTCACTTCAGGACTAGAAGCACTCGCTCTTTTAGAATTATGCCACCTCATGACTAGACGTTCTGAAGCTCAAGATACCAAGTTATGTGCTTGTATTTCAAAGCGAACGCGTCATTTCCGTAAATGAGTGTATCGCCCCACACCCTCCATTAGTTTTAGATTTTAAGTTGGTGTCACCCTGCTAATTTACTACTTTAGTTTTTTTTCCCACGTTTTCTTTAACTTGCTTTCTCTGATTGTTTGTTTTTCCAATCAAATCTTGCGATCGAATTTTCTGGCACTTCCCAGTTAGCTAGCGCGCTGAAATTTTCAGGGAAGCTTTCTTTTGGATGACCATAGAATATTCAATTGTTATTATTACAAAATTGATCAATGGAAACATTTTATTGAGCATTTTAGACCGCTATATAATCTATATATATAATTCTCCTCTGCGAGCCATTAGAAAAAAAACGAGCGACGCGTAGCTCGCCTCTCTCTTGCCGCGCGCAGTGAAGCGAACGATCCCACGTCGCGACAGGCTAATTTTGTTTGAACCGACTTTAAACTTACAGGAGGTAACTATTACCACTGGTGGCCAGTTTGGGGGAGACGATATGGTCGAGTGGTTGGGCACACGATTGCTATCCCACTCGACACGGGTTCAAATCTATGTGTTCTAGTCAGTAACCAGCCCTCGTCCTAACCGCTATCAACTAACCTCTGACAATCATTCACTTGCGATTGAGACCGAAGAAGAAAGGGTCTCTCGTTTTTTACGAGTTGTCTTTTTACGAGTTGTCTTCGTTTACCCAAAAAAAAGTGAAAAGATAAAATCGATAGCAAGATTTCAATGCAAACAAACAGACAAAGACTAAAAAGTAGAAAATAATAATCATTAAAAAAGTTTAAAAAAACCCACGTTTTCTAATTGAACTAAAAAGTAGAAAATAAATACTATACATCACAATAATGCAAGCGATCACTCTACTATAAGCGATGAAAAACGTGGGGCGCCGTGATTTTCTTACAGTTTCTAATACTGTTGACTCTCTACAAGCTCCCTAATAAAAGTCAATAGTATTATCTAATCAATAGTAATATAACTTTTACTTCGGCGCCCCACGTTTTTCATCGCTTATAGTAGAGTGATCGCTTGCATTATTGTGATGAATAGTATTTATTTTCTACTTTTTAGTTCAATCAGAAAACGTGGGTTTTTTAAAACTTTTTTAATGATTATTATTAACTGGATAAAACATGGTTTAGATTTTGACGAATAAATGTTACTATTTTTTTCGAGTTAGTTTTTTTTTATCCCCTCCCTACAATTGTTTCAATCGGTGTTCGTTCTAACCCCTCCTCCCCCCCCCCCCCCAACACACACTTCCTCACGCCCCATCTTTTTCAAAATCGTAATGCTATTTCTATACTGATACTATAGCCATAGAGCGCCCACAAGAAACATAGAACTCTATGGCTTTATATTTTTTTATGAATTAGTCTTGAATCGCAAGGGAAACAACTTTAACAAACATTGAAACTTAACACGAGTGATGTTTACGACAAAAAACAATACCCTATTTTACTTCATAACTTTATGTATTATCAACATTGTGTTTGTTCTTAAAAAAACATTATTGTTGTTTCATTTAATTAATATACTTAATTTAAGCTTCACTTTTCTTCAATTTGTTTTTGATTTTTTTTTCATTTAAAAACTGGTAGGGTTCGGTACCTCCAAAAAGGTTAAGAACTACTTCTGTAAAGTCTAATATGTGGATTAGTTTCCCGTTGGGAGCCATCATTGTGAAAATATTGAACTCGGAAATAATCTAATTATGTAGTGAAAAGTTCGGCTGTGTGCATGGTATTTTATTTCCTTAATGCAGCTAATCCGTTTTTACTCTGCACATTGAAAGGACTAACGACATTTTGGTAAGGTGAAAGACATTGCCATTTTGCATAAGTACATTAATTTACTATTAACGAATGACGAATGCTTTGTTTTAACTGTATTACAATTTAGTTTAACTAATGTGTACTTCATTTTCATAAATTCGTAGTATTAAAAAGAGAAGAACATTTAAAAAAAGATCTGAATATTTAAACGTGTTCAAATTTATAGTTATATAGACTTTGCTATAGAGCATTAATTGTGAAGAAAATACAGTACCTTTTTTTTTGGAGTTAAAAGGAAATATAATCTAGAGTAAGTTCGTAAAAAATTAAACATTTAAAAAATAACTGAATATTTAAACGTGTTCAAATTTATAGTTCTATAGACTTTACTATAGAGCATAAATTGTGAAGAAAATACAGTACCTTTTTTTGGAGTTAAAAGGAAATATAATCTAGAGTAAGTTCGTAAAAAAGTGAAACTATTTCTTCTGTTTTAAACGGTATGGAACTAACTTTTACAGGGGAATGGTGTATTGATACATATGTAACTTGATCAGTTACGTGGACGAAGTTAAGGACTAACATGCGATGTCCGGCGGTCAGCCTGTTACTCATGTGTCTTGGCACCGTCCTCCACGTGATCGGGCTGGCATCCCATCAATGGTCAGTTGAAGGTGACCAGTCCCAGGGTCTGTGGAGGTACTGTGTGCAGGATGTGTGTCGAAGTATCCCAGAGCGACTTAACACAGGTAAATTTATGTACGCGATTTGTCATATGAACAACTACAACAACATAATTAATACATATTATTAGTACAAAATGGATTGTCCGATTTTTTAGCATTGTTTTAAATAATGAAGTCTTGAAATGAGTTCCTATAGTTTTAAAAGAAAAAAAAATACTCCTCTAAATGGAAATATTTTAAATTTTTTTTTTCAATCGCGGCATTTTTTTTTTTAATTTAAATTTTATTTTAGTATAGTCTTTATTTTTACAGAAACTGTTTCACTAAATGGAAATTTTTATTTGAAAACGTAAAAAGAAAACATCGAATGAAAAAATTAATTGTATTTTTAGTAATAGAGCTTCTTGTCTGTTAGGTATAAATAGTGGGTTAAAGTATGCAGAGGGTTAGAATTAAGATTGAGATATTTTACAAAATATAAGAAACTGTGTGTGGTTGATGAACTATTGCTTTTGAACCTTTTTTGTATTCTGCCTATTTTGGCAACTCTCAGTTACTTTGTAATTTATTATGAATTATTTGTTACAATTTTAGAAAGTATATTTTTTTTGTAATGTTTTATCAGATGCCCTCTTGATTTGCCGAGTACTGGCCCTTGCTGGTATGTTCTTCAGTTTTGTGTCGGTAACTTTGATTGGTTTAGCCATACACTGCAAGACCTACCAGTACCGGACGATTGTGCTGACACTGTTGTCTACAGCATCAAGTAGTGTGGCGTGTAAGTTATATAACTTCCGTTTTTTGTGTGTGTATTGTGATATAGGCGTGACTGGTATGAAAAAGTTGATACATTATACTCATTGACATTTTGACGTTTTGACTTTTGTCTAGTTCTGGTGACTTTTGTAGGAGAATATACGACCGTTTCGTACATAAATCGGATTATTAAATAATGTTTTCCTGTACAATAATGTAGGTAATATTGTTTCATATGTATACAGTATGAAAACTAGTAGCTTTTTATACTCGATATGTAAGGCAACTAGTACCATCTTATACTCGAAATGTTAATTTTTTTTGGAATACCGGTAGTTTTTGTTTAGATATTGCTTCATTTTCGCGCAAGGATTATCTAGTACTGTTTGTAGTTTACTTAGTCTCGTGTGTAGATATTGAATCTTTAAATCTATATTCGTGTCAAACTGTGCGGTATACTTAGTGTAGCTGCGAGCCAGCTTGATCACAAGTCTCAAGTCATAATTCTAATAAATTATGTCTAAGACGTGTTGAGATTAAATTAAAAGTTGTATTATTTTTTTTAAAAATGTTCCTTGTATATACAATATTGTCATAATTAAATTATTACGTTCTATTTAAGAAAACAAATGCTTGTTGTTCAGCGATTGTTCGTAGCAAAGTAACGGAAGTTTTGAAAACGAGTTTTGGAATTTTTCTTTTTCTTTTTTCACGCTCTTTAAACATTGACTCATCCCTACGTCATTACGTCACAAAACTTTCTAAAATCCTTCCGCATCCTCTTAATAACCCCCCCCCCCTCATTCACTAATAAAAAAAACCCAACTACGCTACGCTTCATTTTATAAGCACCAAGCCGTGACGTCTTTCACGTCCGCCATCAGCCCTTCCTCTAGAAGAAGAGAATTGTTTTTTTAGCATGGGAGATAACACACCCGCTGCGTCGATGGCTAGTTAAGGGAAGTGATTCATTCTGGTTTTTTTCATTCATGTTGGGTTTCGGAAGTATAAGCCATACGGTCTCAAATAGAAAACTAGGACGATGTGTACTGTAGTCGACAAGCTTAGTGTCCTTGTTAGACAGGGGATTTAATCCAGGTGGATTCAATACACAATAAAAACAGCTAAATGATAATCAAGGGAGGTAACCAGGTAATTTGTATGCTATAAATAGCTAAATGTCGCCTGCATTACTTTAAGCTTGACTAATTTGGAGTAGTATATTTTTATTTTTTTTATTTTTAACACGTTTTTATTAACTCAGCTTCGCGTTTGTGTGTTTGTTGTTAAAATTGACATCGAAAATTAGCCCACTTCTGATTGCTCTATAGATCTGAAATTTGGCATGCAGGTTACTTTCGCCTAACAATTTCACATGCAATCATAAAAACTAGCAATTAGAGACCGTAATTAGCTTAATTTAATTACGCCCCAAGGACCATACAATTGAGGACATGATTTCTAAAGATACCGACAAGACTGGAGGCTTATTGACACAGTTACTTCGGCCCCAATCGATGTGATCGCGCTGGCCGTGATCGTATAGTGGTTAGTACTTCTCGTTGTGGCCGCGACAACCCAGGTTCGAATCCTGGTCGCTCAAGTGTTTTATTAGTCCGTGTATTTATAAACACTTAGTCAATTCATACTTAATCAAGTCATTAGATAAAGTAGAAAATAAACTATATAAAAAACTTTTTTAAAAACCACGTATATCATGTGTAGCAACGGACTAAAAAGGAGAAAATAAAATACTTAAAAAAAACTTTTTAAAAAACCACGTTTTTCTTGTGGACTAAAAAGTAGAAAATAACTATTTACATACATTTGATGACAAAAAACGTGGGTCGGGCAGATGGGTCGGGAAATTTGATGGTGAACGTACCCACGTTTTTTGTCATCAAATGTATGTAAATAGTTATTTTCTACTTTTTAGTCCACAAGAAAAACGTGGTTTTTTAAAAAGTTTTTTTTAAGTATTTTATTATGAGGTAAGGGAAGTAATCCTAAAGCTTGGTAATGTAGTTTCCCATATCCTTAGAGATTTGTAATTTAGTTTCATTTTGTCTGCAATTAGTAATTAATTAAGAAAATTAATTACTGCCTGTAACACAAAATAAGTTTGCAATTAGAGAAAAAAGTGATTCATTTAAAGATGAAATAATTTATTTCCAATATTACATTAAACAAAGCTAAACTTTTTATAATACAGAAGTCAAAAATGCAATGCTGTGTTTATCAACAAATCCGAAGAATAACTTTATAATTCGTACAAATCAATTGAAAGTTAAATATTAAATTCTTCATACAAATATTACAGCTGTTAGGAATATGATTTAAGATTTATAGAAATTTTTTATCATATACAAATGTATTTTGTTCAAAGTGAATAAATTCAAACAACTTCACTCAAGCTTATTGCAGATCCACTAGCACAAATGTTACTTTTCAGTAATAATTTAGTGTCTGCATCTAAGGAATTTTTAAGCAAATCTTAGTCTAATTAATAGTTATGAGACAACACAAGTGCTTGCTAAATTGAACCAGGGTTGGGGAAAGTACATGTAGCATGTGTGGTGACAATCATTTCATCTGCCAACTTTTGAGAACTGTATGACTTCGTCAATGTTAAGGATTGAAAAATTATTTTATAACTTAAATTGTATTTGTTCGCATAAATTATAATTTGTATTATGAAAATAAAATAATGCAGTGTGTTCTTAAAAAAAAAAAATACAAATCAATTAATTTTTTCTAGATTGTAACTTATTTAAACATTCTTTTTTTTTTGCTTCCAGTTTTTTCTATCGTGTCATGCACAACTGTCTGGCGAACTATCTACAGCGTCAGTTCCAGCATTGGATTCTCTTTCATCATTAGCATCATAGGAGGAACCAGCCTCATCATTGGTGTCCTCTTGTTTTTGTATTACGTAAAGACTGATAAGTGCGATGATCGTTTGTTACATGTCTAACTAGTCAAATATGATGTTAACTTTAGTATTTATTAAAAAAAAATAGTTGATTGCCATTGTTTTTCATCGTTTTAATTTTAATTGGCTTATTATAAAAATTTGAATTAAATAAAAATCGTAAATTATAATATTGGGGATGCTCAAATTTAGTTGATTTTAATGTATGAAATTAAATGGAAATTATGTAGACAATAGTGTTTATTTCAGCTGATAACTTTAAACTGAAATATTAAAAAACAAAAAAACAAAAAAAAAACAAAAAAAAAAAACAATAAAATACTATGATTCAACATTGACAGACGACTGTTGATTATCAATACAAATATTTCAATATTGGATTATTAAGCCATCAACACAAGCAAGAAAACATTTGTAGTTAAACATAGAACATCAAAGTCAAAAAAAAAAGAGATAATTTCGAATGATCTAAAACAATTATCATGCGGACAGGGAGACTACCGTTCTGCTTAATGAGAAAAGAGATTGGGGGTGACAAATAAGAAACTCAAATGTCGTAGTTAATTTGTTAAAAAGTGTTTGTCATTGTTTTACTTTTTCTTGTTTTTTTTTAAAACCAGCACTAGATATCTAGATTAACCTTACAATCAAAGCAAAATATTTTGAACAAATGACCGAATGTCTTTATCTGAATGTGATTTGAATTTCTCTATTCGTACCAAGTGATTGGAATCCTTTATCAAGTACTTAAATCAGACTTTTTCCTGTAGCCGCCATACATGATCCTGTGGCCCTAACATCTCATTAAATGTCCCTACCAAACGTGAGTGTCTGAATCATGCCATCTAATTAAATGTCCCTATCAAACGTGTGTATCTGAATCCTATCATCTAATTAAATGTTCCCATCAAACGTTGTGTCTTAATCATATCATCTAATTAAATGTTCCAATCAAACGCGTATATCTGAATCTTATCATCTAATTAAATGTCCATATCAAACGTGTGTATCTGAATACAAAATCTAATTAAATGTCCCTTTCAAACGTGAGTATCTGAATCCTATCATCTAATTTAATGTCCCTACCAAACGTGAGTGTCTGAATCATGCCATCTAATTAAATGTTCCTATCAAACTTGTTCATCTCAATCCTAACATCTAATTCAATGTCCCTATCAAACTTGTTCATCTCAATCCTATCATCTAATTAAATGTCCCAATTAAACGTGTGTATCTGAATCCTATCATCTAGTTAAATGTTCCAATCAAACGTGAGTATCTAAATCCTATCATCTAATTAAATGCCCCTTTCAAATGTTATTATCTGAATCCTATCATCTAATTAAATGTTCCTATCAAATGTATCTGAATCCTATCATCTAATTAAATGTCCCTATCAAACGTTGTGTATCTGAAACCTATCATCTAATTAAATGTCCATATCAAACGTGAGTATCTGAATCCTAACATCTAATTCAATGTCCCTATTAAACTTGTTCATCTCAATCCTATCATCTAATTGAATGCCTTTATCCATCCCCTTTATGTGATTCCTAACACCTGATTGAATTTCTTTATCCATATCCTGTATGTGATTCCTAACATCTCCCTAACCAACGGGTGTCTGAGACCTCCTTCTGTAACAGCCATACATTATCCCGCCAATCAGGATGATAATCCCACCGATGATGCTCAGGAAAAATGAGTACCCAATCGACAGCGAGTATGAAGTGGCTCCATTGATTGTCTTAGGAATAACGTCGGCAGCCCAAACGACGATGCCAGTCAAAATAAATAAAACTGAAACAAGATTAATACACAACTTTTATACACCTAGGCTAATTGAATATTAACTTTCGTTTTTTTAGGTTGGATAATGTTAAGCACACTGTTTTCAAATCGTGATACGTATTTTGTAAATGTACTTTCATTAGAGAGGGTTTTGAATTGTTTTTTTCTCTCATTTTTAGTCAAATAAAAAATACGAGCCGGCCCGCGGCATAACATACGCCGCTATTTAGTTGTTGTTTTTTCTACTTTTCAGTAATTCAAAATTTGTGAATTCGACAGTACCAACGCTGCCACTGAAAATATTTCTTTAAAACACTATAAGTAGCTCGTTAAGGACCATAACCCCCCCCCTCCCCTTCCTCCCCCCTCCCCCCCTACGTTTAAAATCGTTGGCTCTGCTTGTAAACATTTAGAGTGAACACAGCTCACAAAAAACCATGTAGGGGTGGGGAGGTAGGGAGAGCTTTTGCAGCTTGTTTTCTAGCGGCTCCCAGAAGAGAATTATATATATAGATAATTCTTTAAAATCATTTCCAGTAGGGCCTAAACATGTATTACCAGAGAAAATATGCCAACCAAATATTTCCGAAAAAATTTCGAATATAAATTCCGTGATCTATTTTCTATTTTACTTTTCCAAAAATTAAAACCAAAATGCTAATTTAATTGAAGATTGATATGCAAAAAGAAACAAAAAATATGCAGAAGTGAGCGCCTTTCACACAATTTTGCGGACACCAGTGTTTATTCCAGACTTTTTTCTACGGGGAGGGGAAAGGCCCTTGAAATTATTATTTTTTTTTGGGAGGGGGGGATTAAAATTTCCGCTGGGCTGACACGGTTAACAGTATATATTTTCTATGCACTCCATTCCGTTCAGAAGAAACTCTGAAATCCACCTTTAAGCGATTCGCATGGTTGGTTTGACGATGAAGGTAACCCCGTGCATATCGCGTGACAAAGCAAATATATTCGCGTTAAGGCTGTCTCACTTCTGCCAGTGCTAGTATTTTAATCTATAGGGTTAACGTTATAAACTGGATCGGTTAGGTTTAACCATTTAAGAAGCATTTACAAGTAAGTTATTAAATGTTAATTGGATAGTAATATGAGAATCTAGGCCTACTATTATATAATAACCAATTTATTGAGTCCATTTTTAAATTTTTTATTCCAGTTTCAAATTTTTAAAAAAAATGTCATTGAAATGTTTTTAATAACTTGGAAATACCGTGAAGTTTAAAAAAATTGTCCCAAACCACTACAATGTTAAAATACTTCCTGCTTCTTTGTAGGATGACGGTTACACCTTTGTGATTACTTTGTTAAATTTTGAAAAGTTTGGTGGTGCTCAGCCATTCGTGTACATTTTATGTGTTTTTAAAGTACTTCAGTTAAATGGTTGTGTTTTTAAACATTTTGTAATATTATTCTACTGATAATGGGGTGGAGGAGGGGGGTTGGTGAAGGCAGGTGGGGGGGGGGGGGGGGGGGATTGGAACAAAAGTTGGATAAATTAGCGTGACGTTATTAATTGCCGACACTTTATACCATTAAATACAATATAAACGATGTACAATACTCCGAAGAGATAATTTAGCATACTGTTAACAGTCAGATAAAAAATAATTATCACAATACTTTCACGATAACATTGCTGATAATGATGAGATTATATTTAAGGTATGGCATGGATTCTAGTTTATCCTTTGTAGATACATAATGTTAAAGACAGCAACAAAAATAAGTGTCACAGTACTCACATGAAAGGACTGCTGACAACGTAGAGATGATGTGGTAGGGTACGGCTGGGGTTCTGTCTTTTACTTTGTGGAAGATATCAACACCAGCCGTCGCTATGGCAACGAAGCTAACAATCATACCGATGATGGCCATAGCCTCACACGCTCTTGTGTTGTCTGTAATTGTTTTTTTTTTTAAAGATGTACAGAAAAATGTTATAAATTTTAAAAAAATTAGGTATTTTAAAATCCTACTTTTAATATTGGAAGTGATCCCCTCCAACACAGTTAAGTATTACGTGTCAACTGGTTATGCGCCATCTAGGCCGTTGACTCCGATTTCAACCTACTTTTCTTTTTGGATTTGATTCACTAGTCTCTGTTAAACCAAGAACAAGCTACAAGGCATGGGTTTTTTAATTTTGGAGTTGTCTCTCCTAGAAGAGTTGCTTTCCCCAGCTATAAAGCGTCATCTACCCGATGGAAATGTAATAAAATAAAATACTTAAAAAAACTTTTTAAAAAACCACGTTTTTCTTGTGGACTAAAAAGTAGAAAATAACTATTTACATACATTTGATGACAAAAAACGTGGGTACGTTCACCATCAAATTTCCCGACCCATCTGCCCGACCCACGTTTTTTGTCATCAAATGTATGTAAATAGTTATTTTCTACTTTTTAGTCCACAAGAAAAACGTGGTTTTTTAAAAAGTTTTTTTAAGTATTTTATTTTCTCCTTTTTAGTCCGTTGCTACACATGAAAAACGTGGTTTTTAAACAGTTTTTCCCACGTTTTCTTTAACTTGCTTTCTCTGTGTCTGTGTTTCTGTGTTTGTCTTTCCAATCAAATCTTGCGATCGAAATTTCTGGCACTTCCCAGTTAGCTAGCGCGCTGAAATTTTCAGGGAAGCTTTGTTTTGGATGACAATTGAATATTCTATTTTTTTTATTACTAAATTAATCCATGGAAACATTTTATTGATCATTTTAGACCGCTATATAATCTATATATATAATTCTCCTCTGCGAGCCATTAGAAAAAAAACGAGCGACGCGTAGCTCGCCTCTCTCTTGCCGCGCGCTGTGAAGCGAACGATCCCACTTCGCGACAGGCTTAGGGGCAGATAATTTAGTTTTAACCGACTTTAAACTTACAGGAGGTAACTATTACCACTGGTGGCCAGTTTGGGGGAGACGATATGGTCGAGTGGTTGGGCACACGATTGCTATCCCACTCGACACGGGTTCAAATCTATGTGTTCTAGTCAGTAACGTATTCACACAACGTGTTTTTTACGAGTTGTCTTCGTTTACCCAAAAAAAAAGTGAAAACATAAAATCAATAGCAAGATTTGAATGCAAACAAACAGACAAACACTAAAAAGTAGAAAATAATAATCATTAAAAAAGTTTTAAAAAACCCACGTTTTCTGATTGAACTAAAAAGTAGAAAATAAATACTATACATCACAATAATGCAAGCGATCACTCTACTATAAGCGATCA